GCTGGTAATGTGTCACGTGGTAACCAGGTGTAAACAGGGTCATGCATAGTGTCAGGTTTCATCATCATCCCATACCCTACCCTCACATCTTAATGTTGCATCATTGAACAGTGTTGTCTTTAACCCCCCCCCCCCCCCCAACCAGTCGAACTCATAGATCGAAGTTCATAGATCACGTGATGTAATCTCTATCCCGTGTATTTGAAGCCAGGTCAATAGAAATCAACTAGCACACAATATCATTTATTGTGTTATAGTCGTCATATGCTATATCTACAGAGGAAAAACTCTCCACTCCAATACACAATCACATTCTACGTCAGTCAGGTCGTTCACCTTACACAATATACTCATTAAACCACACTCATTAAACCACACTAATTAAACCACGTTTGGTATATTAGGCCAATTTTTGGCCTATCATTTGAATGAGTTTTTATTTTACTACTATCATTTAAATAATGCATGAGGTCGTTCTTTTTAATCGACACAATTCGTAGTGGTGAACATTAGCATATGTTATACATCTTTTTAATCGACACAATTCGTAGTGGTGAGAATTAGCATATGTTATACATCTTTTTAATCGACACAATTCGTAGTGGTGAACATTAGCATATGTTATACATCTTTTTAATCGACACAATTCGTAGTGGTGAACATTAGCATATGTTATACATCTTTTTAATCGACACAATTCGTAGTGGTGAACATTAGCATATGTTATACATCTTTTTAATCGACACAATTCGTAGTGGTGAACATTAGCACATGTTATACATCTTTTTAATCGACACAATTCGTAGTGGTGAACATTAGCATATGTTATACATCTTTTTAATCGACACAATTCGTAGTGGTGAACATTAGCACATGTTATACATCTTTTTAATCGACACAATTCGTAGTGGTGAACATTAGCATATGTTATACATCTTTTTAATCGACACAATTCGTAGTGTTGAACATTAGCACATGTTATACATCTTTTTAATCGACACAATTCGTAGTGGTGAGAATTAGCATATGTTATACATCTTTTTAATCGACACAATTCGTAGTGGTGAACATTAGCACATGTTATACATCTTTTTAATCGACACAATTCGTAGTGGTGAGAATTAGCATATGTTATACATCTTTTTAATCGACACAATTCGTAGTGGTGAACATAAGCACATGTTATACATCTCCAATTCTTGAACATGGTGAAAATGAGCTCATGTTGTAAATGTTGAAAATTGACACAAGATGTTCAAGTTGAAAATGAGCAAATGTTCATCACTGGCACATGTTGTAATCGTTGACACTCGGCACATGTTGTAAATTGGCACAAGTTGTAAATCTTTTAAATTGCCACAAGCTGTAAATTTTGTAAATAGGCACAAGTTGTACATCTTGAAAATTGGAACACGGGAATATTGTTAATTGGCACACGTTGTAAATTTTGTAAATTGGCACAAGTTGTAAATCTTGTAAATTGGTACAACGTGTAAATCTTGTAAACTGTCCCCTGTTGAAAACGGGCACATGTTGAAAGCGTCGACAGTCGGCACATGTTGTAAAGACAATCCCACTGGACTGTTCATTAGTGACCGCCATGCATCTGTCCGGCCTTGACCTCAAGTCTCCCAGTTATCAGCTTCACCAGACCACTGATAAACTCTGAGGTCAACCTCCCCCTCCCCCTCACAATAGCTCTCTGACGGGTGGTTCGGTGTCTCAGACAGGTAGGTTGTTGCAGTATTTTTATAACCTTTTTATTTCGTCTTTTCCTAAATTAACACCCTACTCCCTTTTCCCCCGCTCCCTCGCCCTTTTGCCACCCAATATCATTAACTAGATTAATCCTATTCTCAGAATACAATTTACCAACCAGAGTTCTTTAAGAAAGCTAGCATACACCGCATTTCTAGACACGTTGTTTAAACCCGATGTGGAAAAATAAACCAATAGCATTAGGAAAATGTCGTACGCTTCTTTTAATTTCGAATGTTTAATGCATGTTTTGATTGAAGCTTCATTTTTTGGCTGGCAACGACGTAATGATTTTTATTAACAGCTCGTTAATCTATTAATTAATCAATATGCATCATTAGACAGGCTCTTACGACGTATTAAATAAACACCACTTAACTCGGCTCGCCTAATTAAAATCTAATGGTAATGTGAAATTGGACATGTTCTAATATTAGTTTCTTGTGTTAGAGCTGTGATTTGGACGAATTGTTTCCCTTGAGCTTTAATTGTTTCCCTTGAAATTTCCCTCTCCCCCCCCCCCCCCCTCCCCCTTATGCCTTGTTATTAAAACCAATGTTTTTTTAAGCTAGAGTGCACATAAGCCACTACTACACAACCCACAAGGTGACATTGTAAAGTCAGCCTACATAACGCTCTAGAATTTCTGTTTAGACGACCTCTTTATACTATATAACACCAAATTTAGCACTCCAAATTTTATAGGCTTTTTTACTTTAGCGTAAGTTATAGAAAACAACATATTTTAGAGTAAAACTCCTTTTATCTTCATTATTACATTTAATTTGCATTTGATTTTTTTAAAAAGTCATTAAAATTTAAACTGATATAATCGCTCTTCATATATTGTTGTTCCATTCCTAAATTTTATTGTTTACCTGATATTAAACGGATGACTGTTGAATTCTAAGTTGGCCAACTTAATCCGGTCTGTGTTTAAAGTTTTCTGTAAGCACCAAATTCTAAGTTGGCCAACTTAATCCTGTCTGTGTTTAAAGTTTTCTGTAAGCACCAAATTCTAAGTTCGCAAACTTAATCCGGTGCCGTGTTTAAAGTTTTCTGTAAGCACCAAATTCTAAGTTCGCCGACTTAATCCGGTGCCGTGTTTAAAGTTTTCTGTAAGCACCAAATTCTAAGTTCGCCAACTTAATCCGGTGCCATGTTTCAAGTTTTCTGTAAGCACCAAATTCTAAGTTCGCCAACTTAATCCGGTGCCATGTTTCAAGTTTTCTGTAAGCACCAAATTCTAAGTTGGCCAACTTAACCCGGTCTGTGTTTCAAGTTTTCTGTAAGCACCGGCACCCAGCAGGTGATGACTAAATGAGACTAGAAATTTCTACAACTTGAGTAGGGTTGGGCTGGGAGGAAGTGCGTATGTGTGTTAATTTAATGTTTCAACTACGAGTGCGTTATTTGACACCTAAATCTACTTAAAACCTAACCTCAATCGGGGAAAAGTTAATAGAGCTAGGCGCGGTGTTTACCTTAATCTCATCATATCCTGTGGTTGCAAAAATAAAAGCAACCCGATAACTCTGCTTCACCTAGCCCAGTGACATGTCCTGTGTGATCGTTAAAGTTTTTTGGAGCGACCTTACATCAGGGAGATAACCTTGCACCGGAAGTGGCAGACGGCAAGCAGCAGACGTGCAGGTGCCGGTCAACAGACGCAATATTTTTGTTTCTCGTTTGAGCAGACTGACCTTGACCGTGCTCTTAGTGACCATGACCGTTACGTTTGTTTACATATCAGTTGGACTGACGTGCAAGTGGGCGGTGGTTCTAGACGGTTCTATTTATAGCCACTGGCGGCCCCGTGTGTTGTTGACACTCGCACGCTTCGTCGAGCTGGTAAAAAAAAAAAATAAAGTGGGATCTGTCCTTCATGGGGGTGACTGGTTAGGGATGGGGGGGGGGGGGGGGGGGGGGGGGCTAGGAGTGATTTGATATCTAAGACAAGTGCATCCATGTGTAACAAAACGTGTAAGGCGGGGAGGGGGGGGGGTGAAGGACACCCTCATACCGTCTCTCTGCGACCTTCTCAAATACGTCATTTTTCGCGAACTTTAGCGCCACATGAGCCTCAGACTACTGGCCTTTTGGTGTCTGTTTTTGGTCAGCATTTTGAACCCACTGGCCATTCGGGGGAGGGGGAGGGTATTGGGTGAGTATGGGCAGACCCGACAGCCGGCAGGTACTTTTTTTAATATATGGACAGATATACATAGATACAGAAAATTATATTCTGGGTACCCCACCCCCTCCCCCAGTAATTCTGCAAGTCATGTGTACGTTGCATGTGTGTGTTTGTGTGTGTGTGTGTGTGGGAGAGAGAGCGATTATGCATATATTCCAGATCTTGTATCTAGCCTAGGATAGTCTAGGTTATCGTATGTGGCTGCCGTGGGTTCACCACAGTGATTTCCATTTAACACCAAACTTCCATGTGGACTAGTCATTTCATACACACCGCGGTGTTTCATTTTTTTCATTAGGTTGATTGTTTTGGCCATTATTGCAATTATCTAATTAATTAAGCTTAGGTGGTTACTTTATAGTTTGTGTAAGTATTTTATTGGTAGTAGTGATATTTGATGTAATATTATGATTTAAAAAAATATTTGACAATTGTGTTGCGTTATCGTGTGTAGTGATGTGAGATTACTACACCCACCTTGATTTACGTTGTGTAGCTAAGAAAAGGGAAATAACAACTAAATCTTTATATTTTTAAATTAATTCCCTTGTATGTGAATCTTGAGTGTAAATCAACAACTAAGTCCGTGTTGTCACTATTTCATAAATCAACAACTGTGTCTTAAATCTTTAAATGTGTCTGTTGACTGTGTGTCATAATTCATCAACTGTGTCTTTATTGCCAGTGTGTCATAACTCGTCAACTGTGTCTTTATTGACAGTGTTTCATAACTCGTCAACTGTGTCTTTATTGACAGTGTGTCATAACTCGTCAACTGTGTCTTTATTGACAGTGTGTCATAACTCGTCAACTGTGTCTTTATTGACAGTGTGTCATAACTCGTCAACTGTGTCTTTATTGACAGTGTGTCATAACTCGTCAACTGTGTCTTTATTGACAGTGTGTCATAACTCGTCAACTGTGTCTTTATTGACAGTGTGTCATAACTCGTCAACTGTGTCTTTATTGACAGTGTGTCATAACTCGTCAACTGTGTCTTTATTGACAGTGTGTCATAACTCATCAACTGTGTCTTTATTGACAGTGTCAAGATGAGTCTCCTCACCAACAGAGCTGTCACTGTCATCAACTTGGGGAGGATGGGTTTCATGGCCGCTCATGATGTCCAGGTAATTTGGTTGTGTTATCTGAAAGTCATTTTTGTGTGGTTGAAAAAAAGTAGGTTAGCCTATAAAACCTGGTGTTACATGGGGCAGATGAAGCAGAGTTTACTTGTCTCGAGATCTCAGCATATAAAGGGACAGTATTGTCCAGTGGCATTTACTTTCTCTTACGTGTACCAAGCACCAATCAGAGCTGGTTGACTCAGCGACAATGACATATTGTCTTGGGCCCAGGAGCTGAACTCAAAAGTTAAATGATTTTTTAAACATGCTGTTTTAAGTTGATGTCATGTTGTTGATGTCATGTTGTTTGTCGTGTGACATCAGGTAAACTAATAAACTAAAGAAAGCAACCAATAAAACATGTAGCACACACATTCCTGTCTTGTTAACCTACAGTGCCAAAACATCTCACCTTCCCTGTCCATTGTGTCAGCCCGCCCACCCCCCTCCCTTTGTCTCCTCTAATCCAGGTGTTTCTCCCCCCCCCCCACCCTCTCCATTTCTACTCTAATCCAGGTGTTTCTGCCCCCCCCCCCCCTCCTCCTTTTGTCTCCTCTAACCCAGGTGTTGCTCCCACCCCCCCTTTTCACTATTGTTTATTTTTTATTTGAACTTTGATTTGTTGTTTAAAGTTCAGGTCAGCCTAACATTGCCAGTAGGAAGCAGATAAACAAATCATCACCTCCACATTTAGATCAGATAACCTACAAATGTACAGTCTGGACTCTTTACTAATCTATTGCCATAATCAAATACTTACCACGGTGCAAAAAAAGATATCCCATAAATTAGCTAACATGAAGAATAATTATTCATCTGTGGTCTAATCAGTAAATTACCTAGTCAGCAAATCAATATTAAATCAGTGCCACTTAAATTTCACACAATTTATACTAGTAATTCAAGTATTTTTTGTTATTAAATGAATCAATTTTTTTTTTGTAATGGTTTTCTTTTCTTTGTTTAATTTTATGATTGCCTACAACTTTTTCTTTCTCAACTTAAAAAAAAATTATTTTTGCACTAGTATGACCTTTGCCCTCCACAGATGCGCTTTGCCAGGAAACACCTGGACGAGCTGGCAGATAAACCGTACACCTATGGGGAGAACACCTTGCTGCTTGTGGAGCACCCACCTGTCTTCACCATTGGCATCAGGACTAAAGACTACACCCCAGGTACGCTTTGAGAACCCTCCTAGTAGTGTAGAAAAGTAAAGGAGTAAGAAACTAACAATGGACTAACTGTGCCTGAATAGTTTGTTATCTCTAAGTTGTTAAATTGACTTGCCAGTTGTGTGAACTTGTAAGATTTGATTTCTGTTTGTCGTAAACCTTTGGTTTTTTTTTTAATTTAAACATTCAACTTCAAGAACCTCTGAAAGAAGCAGTTTTAAAAAGTGCAAAATTTAAACTAGATTTCAGGAAATTATTTTTTTTTCATTCATTTTTCTGTCTAAATTATTGTTTTTTGTTTCATTAATTATTATTTTTAAATATGCACTTTTTAAAATTCGGCACTTGTTTCAGACGATGAAGGTTGGACTGCAGGAAATTATATTTACTTGGCAGCCCATATTTTTAAAAGACCTACAAATGTTTTTTTTAATTAAATGTTTTTTTAAATTATGGTTATTTATTTTTTGAATGTTTTTATAATTTTTTCCCTTTTTTAAACTTCTGCACTTCTTACAATTCAGAGGATGAGAGCAGACTAAAGGAAACAGGGGCAGAGTTCTATAAGACCAACCGTGGCGGCCTCATCACATTTCATGGCCCTGGCCAATTGGTGGCCTATCCTGTCCTCAATCTTCAACACTTCAAACCCAGCATGAAATGGTGGGATTTTTTTTTTTTTTGTGGGCATTTATTTTTCTATTTGTGGGCATTTATTTTAGTGTAAGTATTTGTTTTACTTGTGGGCATTTGTTTGTTTTATTTGTGCAACTCAGTTTTATTTGAAGGCATTTTAAACTTTCTTACCAAAGATTTAACTTTAAATGGGAATATGTTGATTGTATGTGTATTTAATGAGTCTATCAAATGGCTGTGGGAAGATGTTTATTGTATGTGTAGTTAACGAGTCTATCATATGGCTGATGCCAATCTCTTGTGTCTCTAGGTACGTGTGCCAGCTGGAGCAGACCATGGTGAAAATGTTGAAGACATTTGGGCTTGAGGGCAGAACCACAGACCAGACCGGCGTTTGGGTCGGGGAAAAGAAAATTGGTGCAATAGGTAAACTGGAGTGATAGTTTTAATTTTTTTTTTATATGTCTTGTTACAATGACCTGGGAACACAGTTGAAAATACCTCCATAACTAAGACCTTCCTACACCACTGACTATGCCAGTCTTTCCCAGTACAATGGTCAAGGAATACAATTGAGAACACCCCTATAACAAAGACCTGCCTCCACCACTGATGAAGACAGGCACCGTCCCACTGCTAGACAAAACTTGACTATTGGCTCTGGTCCGTTCAAATGTTCAACTAGTTGGCCTGGGTTTCACGAAGAATTAACACTAATCTGTGTTTGTTGATAAATAGTGGCTTAAAACATTTTTACATGGTCACATAGTAAGTGTTGACCTTAACCTGTGAAAATGTTGACATATGACCCACGGAGTGTAGGCAACCCTTCACCGTGAGTTAGAACACCCCTAACCTGTCAACCTTCAGTCTGTCAACCCCTGGCTCATTGAACTGAGACTAACCTTTTACCAGTTCAACAGTTATTTACTCCTGATCTGTTTGCACTACTCTGTTTGCCCCTGACCTCTTGACCTTGAGTCTGTTCACCTCTGACCTATTGACCTTCCATCCGCCCAGGCCTACACGGCAGCAGGTATGTGACCACCCACGGCGTGTCCATCAATTGCAACACTGACCTGACCTGGTACAGGCACATTGTGCCCTGCGGACTGCAAGGGGTCAGGATGACCAGTATCTCTAAAGAACTGTCCAAGAACATCACATTCCAGGACGCTGTAACGCCATTCCTGAGGTCTGAACATTTTTATATCTACATGGGCTGTTTTTTGTCTTTATATAGATGATGCATACTATAACCAGTTTGCTACTAATGTGGGGGAATGCTACATCACCATTACTATACGTACATATAGTACGAGAATGTGCGTTATTTTCCACCAAAAAACCTGAAGTTTTTAGCTTTTATGTATATACTGTTATTCTATGTTGAGTTTTAGACAAATTTTGAGCTTTTTTTTTACATAAACTTTTTGCTTGGGAATTATTGTAGTTTTCAAATATTTTTAAAAAATTAGATAATTAAATAGATTATTAACATATGCAAACTACTTGTAGGTTGGTAACTATTTAAATATCAGAAAATTCACTGAGGTACTCCTATTGAACCACTTACGGGCATCAATAACTTAGCCCTAAATCATAGTATTGCAAGTAAAACATCAAATTATATGATTCCTTTCAGTTAAAACATTTCTTTTTGAGTGATCTTAAAATAATTAGACGATCAATAATATAAATTTAATTTTAAGCTAAAGTTGTTGTGGATTGTCTCTCTTAGTTTAGTATAGATGGAAGGTTTCTGAAATAGACATTAGTTACATTAGTAGTCAATAGTTACATTTTTTCAAATAATTTATTGTATTTTCTAAAAGTATTTTAATATTGTCTTTACCTAGTAAATGAGTTAAGCATATTTATTATTTTAATAATTTCATAATATTTTAAAAATATATTCTAATATTATCTTTGACTTATGTGCCTTATCTGATGTATTACCAGGAGCTTCCAAGAAAGTTTTGAGTGTGACATGGAGTTCAAAATGCTGGAGGAAAATGAACTGAAAACCATCGCCAACCCCATGACCGTGGGGGGTGACAGCCTGATCAACAGGTTTGTGGACGCCGGCCAGTCGGCCATCCCACACGGGAAGAGGGCAGAGATGGGCCACCGCAACATGTCCACCATGTCAGGAGGGGGTACGCACCTCTTCATCCAGGAGAAGTCTGTTCCCATGTGGTAGTGTACGCACGTGTACAAGTGCGTGTGTACTCAAACAGTTGTGTAGAAGGTTGTGTAGATTTTGTACCAAGCTGTACATAATGTGTACAGATCTGTACAAGTTGTGTACATAGGTTTACATGTAGGTGTGTGAGGAGAGCTCAGGAAAAAAATGTTGGCATTTGCGTGTACGTCATACAGTATGTACATACTAATTAAAGTGTCTGTATTTTAAATTGTGTATGGTCTAGTGGTCAGGTTCAAATGTTAACATCTATTGGTCAAATGTTTTGGTCTAGTGGTCAAATGTTTTGGTCTAGTGGTCAAATGTTTTGGTCTAGTGGTCAAATGTTTTTGTGTAGAGCTCATGTTTTGGTCAAGCGGTCATATATTTCGGTATAGTGTTTATATATCTAGTGGTCAGGTTCAAATAGTTTAGAGGGATAGACAGGCAGGGTGTATCTAAAGAAGCAACTAATTACACTACAAGATTTGATTGCAATATTTTGAGCTCCTGTGTTACCCTTGCTATGCACAAACTTGAAGAAGAGAAGAGCTAATGGGAACTGACGCCACTTTGTTTCCGTGATGAATTCTTCAGCTAGCTTTTTATTTTTTTTTAAACTGTCCTGAATATTATTTTGAATGTCAGGCCACCTAGGGCAACAACATGAGATACAACATTGATAGGAGGGTGGTAGAAAGGCTACATACTCCCACTAAGTTTTGTCTACATGTAACTCTCTTTGGTCTACTAGTGTCACCAATAAAAGTTTAGGTTATGTGTTCCACTAATATGTGACTAAATTTAGCCTACATATGCCACATAAGGATACGTATGGGATTAAATTTTGACTAAATAAATTAAAGTTAAAGACCAAGGCTTTTAGTGCCTTTGTCATTCAACAAATGTTATGTTTGATACTTGATATGTTATATGATGTTTCATGTTATTAGACTTGATACCTTGGTCCAATATGTTGGTATGTTACATTAGGAAAAAATGTTTCAACAAATCTTGGTAATGCTGAGATTAAGGACATTACACTGTTAGCTGGGAATCTTGAAAATGTAAGGCTGTCGTCATAAGCTATCTTTACAAAATTAGTGAAGGGAAATGATTCTTGTCAGCTGAATAAGGGAAACAACTGTTAAAATGTGATGTAGGTGTCTTATTTTTGAAAAAATATTAACTGAAGCATTTAAAATTGTAACTTCCAAGAGGGTGTACTTTGGTTTAATGCATTAGTTATGGTGTGTTGGAAGAAGGGGTGAGATATGCTTGATATGGTGGTTATAGCAATGTTGTGTTGTTTTATGAACAGTATTAAACCATCACCAAAGGAAATGTTTTGAACAACCTCATCATTGGTTTAATGTCATTTGTTTTTTTTAAAATAATTTTAAAATACTCCATCACTTTAAGAGAAGAGATGCACATGTTGATTTTTGGTCTCTCAGCTTTCAGTTTTAAATGTAAGCTAGTCATCTTTCCAACACTGTTTATCATAAATTTGAGGCGTATTTGTTTTATACTGGGACCACTTAATCCTTTGGCCATTTCAAACAGAAGTAGCCTCTACTGGCACCAGTCCTCTCAAATCTCTGCTTGTAACACAAACCTTAGGCTGAGGTAAAAAATGTGCAGTAGAGAAACCACTATCACCATCTTGAGGTACAGTATCACCCCCCTCCCCCTCACACCTACATATTCACACACATATTAAAAAAGAAGTTTGAAACCTGACACTTTTGAGTATTGCTCAGTGTATTATCTAGTCCATTCAAATATGTATCTTGAATTCATTTAAGGACATGAATTTATGCCTTTGGCCAGATAAATATTAATAAATGTGTAGCCATTTTGTTTTTCTCTCTTATTACCTTAGAGTTCTGTGCCTTTTGTTGCCTGAGCTGTATGATAATTGCATTCTTTGCATTTTGTTATTTTTTTTGTTTTGTTTTCAGAAATTGTTTACATTTAAAAGCAGACTTTTAAGAATAATAGCATATTTTTTTAAAATGACAAAGCAAATTTAGTTTCTCTAATAGACTAAAGCCAAGTTGTCCATTGCATGTTTTCAATAGCTGTTTCAGCTTTTTTTTTCTATTTTTGAAATCAAGCACAAAAGTTGTGTGTGCAGACACAAAAATCATGGATGCAAACAAGATAATTGTGGATGCAGCCACAAAAATAAATTGTGGATGCAGACAAGCACATCTGCCTGTGTGCACAAAAGTTGTATATAGAAACATGATTGCTTCCCCTTTCTTACTCCTGGCATGTAGTGTATGCAATATTTTTTATTCGATCTGAAATACTAGTCTGTCAGAGCCGCTTGTCTGTCTGGCTTGACAGTCAGTCAGACGTGTGCTGTCCTGTATCTCTGTATTCCTCCGCCTCATCCCCCACTTCTCATCTTGGCCATAATAACCCTTGTAACATTGCTTGAAATGAATTTTTGTTGATTCAATAAAGATGTAACATCCATTTTGTTGCTCTTGTGTTGATGATGGTTGGTTGGTGTGGATGATCTGATGGTGTCAGGGGAATTCAATGTTATCCTAATCCACTAGTCTAATCCATTAATTGTGGGTGGATCCCTGGATGGATGGTGGGCATATCTTCTATAGTATCTATAGCCTAGGTCCAACCAAGAACAAACACGGAGGCAGTTGTGTGATTTCCAAGTCAGGTAACGGCTCATCTGCCCAGGTTTGAACTGGGGACGTCTGAAGTAAGCAATTACACGCTCTTGCCCGACCACACCATACCCTACCTAATGTACTGTGTACTTGCAGGTGGTCACGGGGATTAGTGGAGTAGTTTGTATATTGTTGGTGAGTGGATCATTTAGGGGGGGGGGGGTGATGGATTGTTGGTAGGTCTGTTGTTCGGTAATCATTTGGTGGGTGGACTGGGGTGGGTGGATCATTTGACACAACAGAGATAGTGGCAAAAAATTCCACCACTAACGGGCGTAGAAAAACTACCCTCGAAGGTTAATAGTTCCAATTTTTTAAAATACTAAACACACCATGGGTCTTATTAGATTCGTTGGTCCACTATTCCGGTGGATTAATAACATATAAGCTATCTTACGCCCATTTTTTAAAAAATAATCTCATAGTTTTTTAAAGTTTTTGTTTTAATAACTAAAAAAAATCTACACTGTATGAATATAGTAGCCGAAGTTTCATCTCAAGAAAGTACGCACCATCCTGCGCACACATTTTCGGTAAAAACAGGATGCACTTTTACAAAACAGATCGGTCCGAAAGTTTTAAAAGTAAAAATAAAACAACAACATCTAAAGTAAATGATGGGTAGCCTTTCTACCTTTTTAGGCATTTATCCCCCAAAATTAATCAATGTCGCTGTGCTTATCATCATTTAGATCTAGAAGTCGCCATCACGGGAACCGTGTCTCGAGTTTATTTTATGTTTCTGTTTATTGTGGGTTCCCGTCAAAATGCTTCAGTTTAACTATGCAGGAAGTCTAGATCTAGTTCCAGGTATATTATTTACTTCTTTTATTTACTTTGTTTTTCTATTTAAAAAATTACCGGTACATTTAACGATTGTGCATTGATTCATCGGTCTAATCTATATATTTTCTATTGTTTTATGGGGAGGGGAAGGAGAGAGTATAGGCCTATATACTATATAGCCTATTATCCTGGTAATTAAATTGATAAAGTAGGTTACATTTAATGAAGTTTAGTCCTTTTGAATCATAAATACCCACGTAAAATATGATCATAGGTTAGGGTTATGGTTAGGGCGAAGGTTAGCCATGATTATTGGTCCAAGTATTGTTCACTATTTTAAGACGATTGTCTGTAGCTAATGGTTGGATTTGCCATTTTTTTTTTTTGCAGAGATTTATATTTAAAATTCGAACTATGCAAAACAGGGCGTGTTCCGAGCTATGTTTGGTTTGTTTTTCGTTAGTGTGCTACTGCTAACCTAACCCCAACTTATAATTCGAGCAATTGTCCGATTTAAAACCTGATCCTATCCCTCATATTAGAACTGACCCCATCCATGATCCTAGTACTGATCCCATCTCTCATCTTAAAACTGATCCCATCCCTTACAGAACTGACCCCATCCCTGATCCTAGAACTGATCCCATCCCTGATCCTAGAACTGACCCCATCCCTGATTATAGCACTGATCCCATCCCTTATCTTAGAACTGATCCTAAAACTGCCATCAACCCTTATGACAAAAAAATCTCAGACCACATATCTCAGACCACATATCTCAGACCACATATCTCAGACCACATATCTCAGACCACATATCTCAGACCACATACTTTAATCAATGTTCCTGAGATATTTCTTCTTGAGATAGCTTGTTCGGCCGACCATGTCCCGACACCAACCAAAATGAAAAAATTCCATAAGAAACTGTTTTCTCCTGAAGTATTTTCTGTTTATTTGTGTGTTCTTTTTTTTTAAATTGTGAAATATTTTGTAATGATTTCTCATACCACAACAAATTTATTTTTATTATCATTTTACGATCATTAAAATATTCCACACACGTACATGCCGACGTGAACACGGCGAATTTTTCCCAATACACACATGGTTTCTTTCATACATTTTACCGTGGGGAGGGGGGTGCACTCTCCGTTTTTTCCGGGGCAGAGGGGAGATGACCCAAAGAAACATTCGCTACACACTACACTAAGCTTAAGACGTCTAAGGCAGAATTTTCATACAATTTGAGCACTGACTTTTCTATTTTTATAGGTATAATCGCCGTTACACTGAATACAAAAAACAATGGAAGGTTCAAGAAAAAGCGCCCGTGATAACCACAGACAGCTAAGACAGACCCCGCCCTCGAAAGCCCACGCCAAAAACAAATACAAAAGAACTGTGTCTCTCCCCCCGCGCGAAAGTAATTCTGAGCTACCGTCTGAATCATCCAACGTCAACTCCAAGGCCGTACCCATCCGCCAAGTCAAGAACTTCGAGACTAAGTTTTCCAGTCGTGAGCTCGTTTCTAGATTAACATCTCTGACAACCTCTCACAGCACCAAAACACGCCCCACCTCCCGTGGTCAAGAGATCGAACCGACAAACACTTACCGATCTGCCCCCTTCCCTTTAGACCTGACCGAGTGCTTGCAGGATGCGTCGGTCTGGGAAGCGCTGGAGATTCGTTTCCTGGAGAACAACAAGTGCACGGTGCTCCGGCCCAAGCTGTGCTCCACGGTACCCAACGAGGAGGCGGGGGGTCTCCCCAGCACCACGGTCACCATCAACAAACCCACGGAGCTGATTTACAAGAAGTCGAGCCTGCCCGACTACCACGGGGAGGTCAGGCGGCAGACGGTGTGCGTCGAGAAG